ATCGCAGCTTGGCAGCTACGCTCACCAGCTTTCAATCCGCCACACGGCTCTCCCCCAGTACTAACCCATGGCACCCCCAAGGGTCGAGCGCTCCCCCTCTCCCTCTCTCTCCCTCTTCCCTCCCCTCTTTTTGTCTTCCTCCCTCCCTCCCTCCCGTTGGGTCGACCAGGAGGGGGTACCGGTATCTCCGTTGGAAGAGCCTCCTGGAACCTCCAGGGGCTTCATTGTGGAAGGAGGGAGCGTCTGGGAACGCACAACGGGGTCTCATGGGAATCTCTTGGGCCGTCTTGGCAGCATGCCGGCGCCCACTCGAGCCAAATTCGAGCATTCCATGGGGGCCAGGGCCAATCCAGGGGCCAGCTCCATGGAATTCCCTCATTGGATGTGTAATATGTGCAATCATAAGTTGACAATCGTAGTCGTGCCAAATACGTGAAGGAGCTATGTAACATATAATTATGCGTGCATGTGTATATGTACTGTTTATTTATTTGTTGGCTTGGTTTTATGTGTGTATATATGAATGTCTGCATGCATGTGTGTATGTATGCATGTATGGACGTGTGTCTGTATGTACGTACGTATCACACATACTGCCACAGCTACTTATGCCCTCGCACACATAATTCGTACATACTTATCTAGTAGTATATGTGTGTATGACGCTACCAGCGTATTTCTATATAACTGTATGTACGTATCAGCAAATGTATACATGTATGCGTACATGCACATGGCTATGTATGCATACATTGATGTGCATTCTCATGCTTGTACATGCATACGCATGTGCATCTGCATACATAATTGCATACATAGACACACGTAGCACCGTCTACATGGTTAAACGCTCATATATAGGAGTAGCTATGAGTACACACTGCGGAAATCCAACGAGTACCCCCTTTGTTCTCCCAGAGACGGAAAGTGCTGTCGGGAAGGTTGTGTTTGGAGCGCTCCCTGGAGAGCCCGAAACGCCCCAGAGGGCCCCCAAAGGCCCATGGGGACCTCGAAAGCCCTCGTCAAAACGACCCAGATGGGCCCAGAATGGCCCGAGAGTGGCCCCAAGTAGCCAAGAGACGACCCCACGGGCTCCCATGTCAGCCGCCGGGAACCCGATGAGGATTCCCAAGGTCTCGGGGCGCCTCGAGACGGTCCCCAGAGGGAGGGCGGATGCGTCAACAAAGCTTTACACAAAAGTAAGCCGCAACCCGCGCGTTCCGAAGGCCGTCGGTTCACCTATCTCTGATGCGCGGAAAGCTCCAGGAACCGCTCCAGGAATGTTTTGGCGACGTCCTGGGGGTGCTCTTGGAATCCTCTGGGCGTCCTCGCGGGGCCTTTTAAAGCTCTAGCTGCCCCCAAGAGGTGGCCACGACGTGGGGAATGCTATCAGCGGCCCTCACTCTTTTGATCGATACTCTTGGACTCGTCAGTGACTCGCCCTCTGCACCCGCCCCTCCGGTGTGGGACAATGACCGTTGAGGCCAGCATCCCCTCCGGACTGGGCCAGTTGCCCTTCCAAATCCAGAAAAGACTGCGGACATATTATGATTTCTTTGGTCGCACATCCACCTTGGCGGAGCGGGCCTGACCAAATGCAGGCAGGCCGCGGGAGTACAATACGGAAACTCAGTAGGCGCGGCGTCTTTCCCGCAATACATGCAGCGCAAGGGACCGCTACCCCACGCGATGCCGTAGCTCCTACACTGCTTGCTGGTGCCGCGCGGCTACAGGCAACCCTTGCTTGTCGGATGCAACATGCCCCGCTTGTTCGTTGACAAAGCAAATATCCTCTCCCTGTCTTACCTGGCAACCTTCGCCCTGATGGCCTGCAAAACGGTTTCCTGCTTGCGGGAAGGCCCGCGTCTACGCGAGCGCGTAGCGCTATCCGCAGGGGCGGACGATTGGTTCGTCTCATCCTGACTCACGTGCATTGGCCAATTCTCTTCGCCGAACAGCGAGATCGAATCAATGACGGGGGCCATCATTTCGAATCGCCGCACCCTGGTAGTCGTCCTGCCGCCCAATCGCCCGAGCCGCCAGCGTAATCCCGATCCCGCCCACAGCGCGAGCTCGGACTTCGTAGTCCTCGCATAACTGCGGCTTAATGGGCGGACATTAGAATTCAGGGTGGCGTGCGCCTGCTCATTACGAGTCCTTCCAACCCCAAGGGGGCTATTCTCTTCCGGCGTGAGCCGCGCTCTGTAGCGGATACTGTTCAGGTAGAACGCTGCTCGGTCAGGAGCGCGCGCGGCAGCGAACTGCGCCCGAAGCGTGCCTTCGTCGCACTGCACGTCCATCCGCTCTGGGTACGCGCGCGACGGCCGGCAATAACATGGCAAGCTGCTCCCTGGACTTCATCGGCGCGTTTGGGTCCATCTCGCCGAGGGATGTTTTCGCGCGGCGGGCCCCCATGTCGCCTCCCGTGATCTCAACGAGTGCTGATTCTGCAGCAGATGGCGAAGGCGCGCCGATACCCCAGTTGCAGGGCTCGTGCTTCCGCGCGTGGTCGGCCACGGAGAACTTCCCCAATGCCGCCCGCATGGCGAGGCCGACCGCGATCGGCCGCACGCGCCGCTTAGACGCGTGGGTGTCCACGGAAAATGCCAGGTGCAGCGGGTCAAGAGACGCGCCCAGTAAGGTCTGGGGATTTTGAGCATCTCGTCGCACATCTTGCGCCCGACGACATCGCTCGCGACGTGCTCGACGCGCGGGCGGAGCTCGGCGGGAATCAAGCGCTCCACGGCGCCTGCGAAGGACTCTGGGCGTTCCGCGCACGACGGGGCGAGCCCCCACTTTTTGCCCTAGAAACCCGTCGCGCTGAACGCGTTGTGCTTCTGCATGCGGTCTGCCTAGATATTTTGGGCGAGATCTTGCGCGTGGCGTCGGTAGAGATGGGTTTGAGGCCACCGAGGTCAGCGCACTCCACCAGCTGCGCCCCCGCGAAGTCCTGGAAAGCCGCCGACCCGGCAATGTCCAGCATCAGCGGTAACATGGTGCCAGTGCGGCGGTTCGCGAGCGAGCTCACCTCGCAGCCGCCGCGGGCCCGCGCCGCCCGGAGAGAGTGGAGCGCGCGGCGATGCGCGCCGCCTGCCTCGAGTAGAAGCCGCGCGTGCATGTTGCCAGACTCCACGGTGTAGCAATGGCTGCCAAATCTTCGGGCGCGGCGGAGCTTGTCGTCTGAGCGCAGCCGGTATTGTTGGCCAGCGCTGGTCAGGACCATGCTCGAGTCACAGGCGTGCTTGTGGCCCGTTGCGGTGTAGAGAGAGCCCCTCCCCCCAGCATCGCGATGAAGTTGGCCCTGGGCGACGGTGCCCCTCCCTCCCTCCCTCCCTCCCTCTGTCCCTCCTTCCTCCTGCTCTCCTCCTGCTGCTTCCGCCCCGTCTCCTTCTTCCTCCTCTCCTCCCCCTTCCTCTTCCTCTCCCCACCTCCTTCCTCCTCCCCTCCTCCCCTCCTCCCCTTGCCGCCTCATTCTTCTCCTTCCTCTCCTCCTCCCCTCCCCTCCCTCAACAATTACTCAATATGAATACTACTCTCCCTCTTCCCCTGATGACGTCTTGGGAATATTCGCCCCCCCCCGCGTATTGGTTTTTTACGCAGGTTTCCCCGGAGTTGGGTTTTCGCCTGCATTTGTTTCCAAAATGCTGCTCTCGCTGAGGCGCCGGCCTCATTTTCGGGCCCCGCTCGTTCCGAATCATGCTCCCGCTGCAGCGCTGGCATCATTTCCGCCGGCGCCCGGGCTGCACGCCCGAGCCAGCGCCTGGGCCGGCGCCCGGGCCGGGTCCGGAGCCGGTTCCGGCCGTCGCCGGAAAATCGAGTTCCGAGGCGGCGCCGAACAAAGCCCATTCTAATACACATCTTTCTTTTGAACATGCTGACTTTCTTCTTCCGGCGCCCCGGAGGCCTCCCGGGCCGATTCCGACGCCAAGGCCGGCGCCCGAGCCGGCGCCCGGGCCGGACGCCCGAGCCGGCGCCCAGGCCGGCGCTCGGGCCGGGTCCGGAGCCGGTTCCGGCCGGCGCCGGAAAATCGACTTCCGAGGCGGCGCCGAAAAAAGGTCATTCCAACACATTTTTTTCCTTTGAAAATGCTGAATTTCTGCTTCTGGCGCCCGGGAAGCCTTCCCCGGAGTTAGGTTTTCGCCTGCAATTTTTCCCAAAATGCTGCTCTCGCCGGCCTCATTTTCAGGCCCCGCTCGTTCCGAATCGTGCTCTCGCTGCAGCGCTGGCCTCATTTCTGTGCTTCCGCTCGTTCCGAATCGTGCTCCCGCTGCAGCGCTGGCCTCATTTCCGCGCTTCCGCTCGTTTCGATTCGTGCTCCCGCTGCAGCGCTGGCGTCATTTCCCGTGCCATGCCACGGCATGCAATGCAATGCCAGGTTGATACTACGCTTCGCGGCGCTCTTCTACCCCATGCCATGCCGTGCTCTACAATGCATCGCGTACCCTCTCGGGATCATCGCCCTGCTTGACATCCGACTGTGCGAGTAGAGAGGGGATCTGCGCCATGGTAAGGGATGGGAGGGAGGGGTAGGATGTCAGATATGACGAGAGCGCACCTAGCTTGCCTCCATCCCCTCCCTCACCTCCCTCACCCCCCTCACCACCCCTTCCCTCCCCCTTATCACCCATCGCTGACGCTCCAGAAGTGCAGCGCGACAGTCGGCCTGGAGCCAGACCACGGGCTGCTCATGGCTCAACCCATCGTCGTCGACGTCGTCGTCCTCGTCAATGTCGTGGTCGTGGTCGTCATGGTCGTGGTCGTGGTCGTGGTCGTGGTCGTGGTGATGGTCGTGGCCGTGGTCGTAGTCCTGGTCGTGGTCGCGGTCGTGGTCGTGGTTGTTTTCGTGGTGGTGGTGGCGGTGGTTGTCGTCTTCGTTACTACTAGTCGTCGTCTCGTCGTCGTCGTCGTCTTCGTCACTGGTCGTCGTCTCGTCGTCGCCGTCGTCGACGGCATCGGCGTCGAGGTCCAACGCTCAGGAGGCCGAGCTCGAGCTCGGGGTCATGCGCCAGCAGGCCGAGACGCTCCAGTACGAGATCGACGCGTGGGAGCGCAAGGTGGCCCCTTCTTCCTCGGGCTCTCGCGCCATGTTTGAGGTTCCCAGAGGCTTTCGTTCTTCGGTTCCCCCAACAGTTTGAATTTTTTCTGGGGGGGGAGGGTGGGGGGTGGTCGAAGCTGTTAGAAGGTTTCCGACAGGTTCTTGGAGGTTTTGGTAAGTCTTTCGGGGCCTTCGGGGCCGTTCTCGTCGCTACGGCCGGGCTCGGCTCGGGAACCGGCACAGGATGGTGCCCGGGAGGGGGCTGGTGATCGATTTCGAACGGTTGTTTCGACTACACGTTAGAGTGACCCTTGGCGAGGGTGACCTTTGTCGGACGGGGCTAGGACGAAGATACATCCGTTCCAGAGCGTTCTGGAACGCCCGGAACGCTTTCAGAGCGTTCCGGAACGCTCTGAGAAGGCCGCGGCGCGCGAGCAATCTTCCAGAGCCGCCAGATCTCAGAGATTCTCGATTTATCCTCACCCGATTTTATCCTTGTCCTGGCCTCGTCTTACCTCCCGTGATCCCTCATTGGCAGCTTCCACCTCGAGGGCGCGGGGGACTGTCGGGCCCCTGGCACAGCAGGGGAGGGAGGGAGATGGGGAGGGGGACCTGCGCTCTCGTCCTTCGACGCCGCGCCTTTTTCCAGAGCGTCGGCCCCTCGAGGTCTCGACCCCTTCCCAGGGACCTGCTCGTCCAAGGGCGCTCTCGAGGGCGCGAAGTTATTCGCGCTTCGCGATTCGGATCTGATTCCTCCTCATCCTCCTCTTCTCCCCTGGGGGGCGGCGTGAGAGCGCAAACTGAGCGCGAATTTAGGAGCCCTTGGGGACGTCCTCAGCAGTCTTTTTTGACAGCCCTGGTGTCCCTGGTGAGGCGCCCCAGATGCCGAGATCCTTCAGAAACCTTCCCTCGCAGCTTGTTCAGGACCCGAGGGTGGCCTCGGGGACGATGAGGCCGACGAGGACGAGAACGTCGGCAGCGGCGGCTTCCCTCTCCCCTCGCCCGCTTTGGCCAGCGGGGGAAGGCGGTCCCCCGCGGCGACCCCGGTCAGGCGGAGCTTTGCAATGCCTCTGGCGAGAAGGCCTCGGGCAAGCGGGGCGCGCGCTCACACCGTTGTGGTCGTGGTCGCCGCCGCTGCCGTCTTCGTCGCTTCGTCGTCGTCGTTGTCGTCGTCGTCGTTGGGGTCGTTAGGGCAAGGAGAAGGAAGAGGAGGAGGAGGAGGAGGAGGAGGAGGAGGAGGAGGAGGAGGAGGAGGAAGACGAGGAAGAGGAGGAGGAGGAGGAGGAGGAATTTTCCGTTGCCATTTTGGCTCAAGGCCATTGGGGCTTGAGTGGGCCTGGGGAGGCCCGCAGGAGATCTGGCATTACGCGTGCTGAGGACACTGTAACCTCAGCCGCGTTTCTTCTACCAGTGTGAGTGGATTCGCCTCCACCACGTCCTCTCATTTTCAGGCTCGGCAGCACGAGCCCACTTGGCACAGACGCCTTCGACGCGAGCGTGCGTGCGCTCGCCTTCTGGTGAGACTGGGCCGTGCTGCTGAACTACTCGGTGCTCATCACAGCGCCCAGCGGTCAGCTGGAAGTGCTATGCCAAGGTGGCAATGCTCATGCGGTATCCACAACGCCGCCGCCCTGGCGCACTGCAGGGGCTGTGGATTGCACTGGCGGCAGGGCTGGCGTGGTCGCAGTCCAAGGCGGGAAGCTTCTTCAAGGGCATCGCCGAGGAGGGGAGCGTCCCCGCGCCGTCCTGGAACGGACCCCCCCTGGGCTCCAAAGGCCGCCAAGTCCGACGCCGCGCCGTATGTTCGAATGACTACTCCGTCGGAAGCAGCCCTGTCGGATCATTTCAAGCCGCTGCCACCAGGCAGCTCAGAGGAGGCCAAGAAGGAGTATCTCAAGGATGTGCGCCAGAAGATCGCCTTGTACGAGAATCAGCATCAGTTGCTCTGGGCACAGAAGATGGACACGTCAGAGTGCGCTCATCATCTCAGCGTTCTACGACGGTGCTTGATCGCCCACTTGCCTTTCGAGGTCCAAATGACCATGGTGGAAAGCAGTCTGACGCGCATGACAGCACGCGGAGAGTCGGCCCGCAAGCAGTGGGAGGAACAGCAGATGGAGGCCGACTCTTTGGAGGTGAACTTCGAGAGGGTGATGGACCAGGTAAAGGCGCTCAAGGTCACGAAGGTTCAGCTCACGGAGGCGCTAGAGGACGAGCGCGAGTCCACAGAGGCTTGCACGGAGGAGGAGCTAGCGGGGGCTTCGGTGGCACAGCCACCCCCCGCAGCGGGCTCGGCCACAGCGGCCGCGGCCCCGAGGGCAGCGATGGCGGCAGCCCAGCCGAGCGTGCCAGCGCCCCCTCCTCCGCCAGCACCAACGACGGCCAAAGCAAGTGCCGCATCACCAAGGTCGCCGACAGTGTCCCAGATGCAAGGGGAGGTCGAGAAGCAGCTGCCGCCAGCGAAGGAGGAGATCGCGACGCTGTCCGAGCGCATGCGCAAAATCATGATGGAGGTCATGGCCAACCGCGCTGCGCCGACGGGGGCTCCTGCCTCTCCAGAGTCGGTGCGTTCATCTCCGAAGGTCAAGCCGAAAGAGGAGCCCGCGGCCGAGGTCCCTTCGCCCGCCCGCGATCGGAGGTCGCCGTCCTTCGGCCGTCCGAGATCGAGGAGCGCAGAGAGGTTCAACAGCCGCCGTTCAGCATCGGAGGCAGCCAGACCACGCAGCCGTGCACCACCAATGAGCCACCAAGCCTATGCCAGAGCCATCTTGCAGTATGGCTTGGGTGCTACGTCTCAGGAGGATTGAGGGCACCTACAAGTTCTCCTTCCGCGGCTCCTGGGGGCGGCCAAGAGCCAGTACCATCAGCTGTTCAACCTCGTGGTGTTCTTCGCCTGAGCCATCCTGAGTGCCAGTGCCTCTGCGTGAAAGCTCTTTCTAGCGCTATGTTCTGTTCAGCCGCGCATGCTGTCCAGGGACCCCTGGGAGTGGCCCCTCCTTTTCCCCTCCTCCGTCCTTCGGTCTCGCCCCCGACTCGTGCCCTAGGGGGCCCTCGGGAACAGCAGCAGCCTTTGCTGAATCTGCACATCCTGTTGCTTCGGCCCCCCGTGGAGCCAGCGATAGCGGGCGCGACCTCGTGGCTTCGAGGGGGGCTGAGGGGTTTAGTGCCGCATGTAGGGAGGAAGACAGCTCAGTTGATAGCTGCGCGGGGTCCATTGGGAGCGCCCCCCCCCCCCCGTCCTCCAGGCGTGGCCCTCCGCCTCCTTCTCCCCATGGACACTCCCAAGTTCCCGATAGGCCTCACTCCACTTACCCCGCCTCGTATTTCCTTGGCGGCGAGTGGAGGCAAGGTTTGTTTGAACATCCTGCTTCTGTCTCAGAATTGGTGCGTCACGACCGCTTGGGGAAGCAGTCTCACGCGCGCTGTGCGGGAGAAGCCTCGCCGCCCCACTTCCGCTCCTCCTCCCGCGCCACTGGCGCGGGGGTTGGGGTGCCCCCCCCCCCCCCCCCAGCTCGAGGCTCGCTTGGGGGGAGATGGGGGCCTTAGCATTCTCATCTCTCTCGCTGATGCACTGGGGCCGTGCGCTGCTGCAGAAAAAGGACGCTGCGCGGTGTGATGCGAAGTTGCGACGGTCGATTGTGGAAGGTCCCATGGTGACTGGTGGGTTTCAGTTACTTTACGACTTGGGGGGCCGCGGCAACATCCACCCCATTGCCGCCGCAACATTGGATCTTGTGCCTATGCAGAGCGGCCCGGCTTCTACGAACTATCTCGTTGTCGATGGTTCGTTTTTCTCCTCGGACCCCGCGGGCTCTGGATGGGCCATGGCCCACGTGTTGGCCAACGATGATCGCAGTTTTGGTTTCAGTGGGGCCTTCTGGTCTAGGGCCGTGCTGTCCTTCCCAGGGCTTTCTACCCCTGGCAGTGCCATCATCGCCGAACTTGTCGGGGTCGTCTGGTGCCTCGGTTGGGCTGTGTCCACGGGCGTCGAAGGTAAAGTGATCATTTACTCGGACTGCTTAGCCGCCATTGACGCGGCTCTCGGGGTTTCCTCTGTGTCTTCGGCCCAGGTGCTAAGTTGCACCGCTCACGCGCTCTACCTTTCGGCCAGGTCCCTGGTCGAAGTTCCGTTGTGTCACGTACCAGGGCATTGTGGTCGCTCATGGAATGAGCTGTGTGACAGCCTGGCCAAACGAGCGTCTCGGGGGGACTTCTTGCCCCAACCTGCGTCGTTATTGGGACTTGTGGCCGACTCCAGTTGCGCCGACTGGGACTGGTTGAGGCGGGCCCTTCCCTCGGTTCGTGATGCTTACCCACCTCTGGACAGCCGAGGTTTCTGGTGCAACCCCTCTCACCCCCATGCTACTTGAGCCACCTTGGCTGCGCGTCACCCCGACCCTGCCGCCTCGGCTATCCCCCCCCCCCCCCCCCCTTAAAGTTGAAGCCAAGCTCAATGTCCGTTTGGTTTCGCACAACGCTCTCACTCTGCGCCGCAGCGACGAAGATGACCGCGCCCAGCGTTTCGCGGAAGGGAGAGCCAACGGGAACCTGGGGTCGAACTCTGGGCGTCCCTCCAGAATCCTTACGGTGTTCGAGATGGCGTTCCCCTCGTGTTTGAGAAGCGCCACTTCTATGCGGTCCATGCCGATCCTCGGCGGCTCTTTGTCGAGGTCAGCGCCCCGGCCTTTATGCGCGCCGTCGCTGTCTCCCATGCTCACCACAACGACACGGATCTCAACTCAAGGACGGAATGGTGGGAAGAAATCTTTGCTCTCACCTCCAAGTGGAAGGCGGGAATTTTCCTGGCCGACGCCAACGGTCGCGTTGGCAATCAAATCGTTGACGGAATTGGAGTGTGGGGCTATGGTTTCCCCCAACATGTCGATGGGAGGGGGGGGGGGGGGGCGCTTTCCTGATGGATGCCCTGGCCTGTTCGGGGTTGGACGCGCCGACTACCCTCTTCCCTGTTTCCACGGAGTGTCACACCTGGACCGCCAACAATGGCTCCCCTCACAGGTTGGACTATGTTTTGACTTCCCCACGTCTTACTCCGTGCGTCAAAAATCACGGGGTTTGGCATGACTGGGACTTCCTGGTCGCTGCTGAGGACCACTGGCCAGTTTTCGTCGACCTGCATTGGACCTCGTGGTTCGTTCCAGGAGTTGCTAACAGGCTTGACAGTAGTGCGTTGTTGGATCCCTCCCGGCCCGACAGGCTCAGTTTGCTGCCGAGTTGCTGGACGTCCCCCTCGTTCCTTGGGGGGTGGACGTCAACTCCCACTATGCTTTAGTTACTCAGCAGATCAGGGAAGTTGCGAGCGAGGTGTTTCCGCCCGTGTCTAAGTACCCACGCAAGCCCTACGTGCGTTCTCGGACCTTAGCTCTCATTTCCTTGCGGCGCAGAGTCCGCGCTGCCCTGCGTTCCCCCAGGTCCAAACACCCAAGGGCTGTGAGTACATACTCAGGGGCTCTGCGAGAAAGGGGATGGGAGTCCTCGGGGCAAGGTGCAAGAACGGCCCCACTCGACCCAGAAGGATCGGTGCAAGGTTTTCTCCTCTCAGTCTAAAAAGGATGCTGACCCCTTGTGTTTTGTGTCGTAACCTTTCCCTGCACTGGCCGTTTGACGGCGACCCTGTTGTCGATGGATTGCGCTTCCTCACTGATCTGGTGGACGCGGTTGTTGGTTGCCATGCGGGCGTTCTTGGGCGTGATGACACGTTGGGATCTGTTACTTCCTTTCTCAAGAGCTGGGGCCGTATGGTTCGCAGACTCCTGGAGGAGGATCGTTCCGCTCACCCCGAGGGCATGGCGGACCAAGTGCAGGCCGCGTATGAGTCGGGAGATTCTAGGGGCCAGTGGGACCTTCTCCGTCGCTTGCTGGCCTTCGGGGGCCGCCCAAGTAAATACTCGAGTAAACACCCCCCTACCCGCAAGTCGCCAGAGGGGGAAGTTTTGTCCGACCCTGTTGAAGTTGCCGATGACACCCACGCCAACTTCGCCCAGATAGAGGGGGCTGAGACCGTCTCGGCCGATTGTATGTTGGACCGTTACAATTCCCCTCCCCCTGACTGCTTTGTCAGTTCCACCCTTGTCAGGTGCCTGGACAACTTGATGTCCCTCGATCAAACGATCCGCAGCTTTCGAGCTGCCACGTCCAACAAGGCCAGCGGCCCCGATTTTGTTTCCGATTCCCTCCTGCGTGCTGCCCCTGGTGCGTGCGTTCGGCTTGTTAACCCCCTTTTTGTGAAGATTGGCATCGAAGGCCGAGAGCCTCTGGATTTTAAGGGTGGCTGGGCTCATGAGCTTTGGAAGGGCAAAGGCGACGCGGCTTTCATCGAGCAGTATCGCCAGATTTTACGGATGAACAACATTGCCAAGCACCACCACACATTCCTCCGTGGCCGTCTGTATTCGTTTGTTGAGCATTTGCTTTTCGGCACCCAGCGCGGAGGGGTTAGGGGCCGAGGGACTGACATGGCTCTCCACACCACCTTGAGTTTTATGGGCCTTGGCCGCCAGAAGGGTTTGACTACGATGTTGGCGTTCGGTGACTTCAAACAAGCTTGTTATTCTGTGGTCAGGGAAATTGCCCTCCCTGTCGGCTCGTCTGTTGACGATCGAGCCGAAATCATGGATCAGGCGGAGGTTCCCCTTGCGTTGGTCCCTGTCCTCGATTTGTGCATGCGTAACCCCACGCTCGCGCCTGCCACTTTCTCGGGCGAACATTTGCTGATGCTTGTGGCGGATGCCCACGCCCACACTTGGTTTGGGGTTAAGCGCAGCAGTTTTACGGCCAGGACCCGCACGGGGTCCAGACTTGGGGGCGCCATGGCGGACTTGGTTTTTAACCTCGCGTGCTGCCCCATCATTGGGGCTCTCCGTGAAAAGTTGAGCGGGGCTGGGCTCCTTTGGTCGTTGCCCTCTTCCCCTGCCCACACTCTTGCTTTGGACTCTGACCCCCTCGCGCCGATGGTCGCGGAGTCGGCCTTCGTGGGCGACCGCGCCACCCTGTGCGCGTGTTGGGACAACCGCCAGCTCAGCACGAAACTGGGCACTCTCATCCGCATCCTACACTACACGATGCTCAGCTACGGGGTGCGACTGAACTACGGACAGGGCAAATCCGCCATACTCCTCCCCATACGGGGAGCTTCCTCTCAGGCTGCCAAAGAAAAGTTTTTCGCCCACCAGGGAGGAACCCACACGGTTGAGGACATGGGGGTCAACATTGACCTTCCTGATGTTCACAAGTCCCTGGGTTTTTTGGTGTTCCGCGATGGGCTCCTGCGCCCCGAGCTGACGCTTCGCAGAGCTAAGCAGCAGGTTGCCCTCGGTCCCTTGGAAGCTTCGGTGTACCCTCGTCCCATGCTGGCTGTGGCTCGAAAAGCTCAGCGGACCGACGCGCTGTGCTCCTCGGCCCTCCTGTGCAATTGCGCTATCTGGAGCCGATTGTCTGCCTCCGATTTCTCGTTCGTTTCTGCGGCCTATGTTGGCAGCTATCGGTCAGCCCTGGGCAAGGCTCGTGACGTTGGTCCTGGGCGCAGGCCCATGAATGCTGAAGTTGTGGTCAATGTTGACCGACCCGACCAGGGCACCTTACTCCGCCTCCGCCGCTTGAAATACTTTGGCCGCTTTGCCGTGAGAGGGTCATCCCAGCTCCGCATCCTTCTGGACCTCCTCCTCGAGGGGAGAGATTCGCGGGGGCATTTAATTAAGGAAGACTTCGCCTGGGTTCATCACTTGGACGGCAAGAAGGAGGGCCCCCTCCCCCCTCTCCTACTGGGCGCACCTCGCCCGCTCGGCCCCCTCCTCCTTCTCTCGCGCCATCGCGGGTGCTTACAATGCCCACAGGAGATGGGGGGCTGATCAGTTCAAGCTCGAGATTTGGAGACAGGCGC